TTCTAAAGTTGTAGTGGGCTGAATGTTCACTACAAAAATGAAGATATATCCACCTAGAACCTGTGATTGTAACCTGATTTGGAGAAAGGGTCTTTGCAGATGTAATTAAGTTAAAGATTTCGAGATGAGATCATCCTGGATTAGGGTGGGTCCTAAATCTAGTGACAAGTGTCCTTATAAAAGAAGAGGAGAAGACAAAGAGGAAGTGGTGTGAGTACAGAGGTAGAGATTGGAGTGATGTGTCTATAAACCAAGAGCATCAAGGATTGCCGGCAGCCACCAGAAGCTAAGACAGAGAAACAAATTCTCCCTCAGAGCCTCCAGAAAGAACCAACCTTGTCAACACCTTGACTTTAGACTGTGACCTCCAGAACTGTGAGAGAATGGATTTCTGTTGTTTTAAATCATTTGGTTTGTGGTAATTTGTTATGGCAGTCCTAGGACATTTATACGAATATCTACCTTGGGTACATTGTTTATCATCTTTATACCTCTTTCTCCTCAGTTATAGAAATTTTAACAATACTAATTACATAGGATTTCTGTGAGGGTTAATAAATTAAAATAGGTAGAGTGCTTAGAACTGCTTGGTACACAGGCTGGGCACAATGGCTCACGACTGTAATTCCAGCACTTTAGGAGGCCCAGACGGGAGGATCACTTGAGGCCAGGAATTTGAGACTAGCTTGAGTAACAAAGCATGATACCATCTCTACCAAAAAAAAAACAAAAACAAAAAAAACCAGAAAAATTAGCCGGGCATAGTGGTGCACACCTGTAGTCCCAGTGACTTGGGAGGCTGAGGCAGGAGGATTGCTTGAGCCCAGGAACTTGCGGCTGTGGTGAGTTGTGATTGTGCCACTGCACTCCAGCCTGAGTAACAGAGTGAAACCCAGTCTCAAACAGCAACAAAATAAACAAACAAAAAGAACTGCTTGGCACAGTTATATTTTTGAAACTATATATATTATTACTATCACCATCATCATAATTATGAATATACATATATAGGCACTGAGAAGCATCTGGGCAATAGCTCTTGGTATTGAGATAAAAAATACCCTTTACTGTGCTTCTCTGTGTTACACAAATTGTGTGCAAGGGACATGTATCAGTTATATAATCATAAGGCATTTATTAATTTGAAACAATCATTTTATTTATAGTGATAATGGTTATATACCTACCAGCTCATTGTCAGATAGAGAGCTGCACTGTTTTACAGAGATGAAATATTTAAGCACTGTCAGACATCTTCTAGCATTGCAGAAAGAGCAACCTGATTATTAATACCTGAGAACAACAATGCACAGATTTCTACAGTTAACCTGCTCTTTTAGAAGTTGAGATGCTCTGAAAAATTGCTTCCTGTTGCCTAGCACAAGAAAACTTGATTCTTGATGTGTGTTTTTTCTTGTTCCATGCTAATAGTATTTCCACAATCACAGCATGGAACCTCCAGATTTCGCATTACACTCTCTCTGTCCTCAGAGTTTATAAACTGTCTACTATTCAAATATCCAGCTATTTTCACTGTAAGAACTGCACAGCACTTTAATCTAATGGACCCATTTCTCTTATGAAAAGCATGCTCTTGGTAATGAAGTACTAAGCCTTCCTCGAGTTAAGAATTGTTAAAAATGAGAATGTAACACAACATAAACAAGAACAATAGGAGAGACGGGGAAGGGCTGCTGACCAGCAGTCACGATGCGGCGGAAGGACCCTGGTGAGCTCTTCAGGGATGAACAGGAATCACTGTAGGCTTCCTGGCCCAGTAATAGGCAGGTGCGTGGCAAGCACATTTTAATAATCACCGTGAATTTGCAAAAAATACCGTCTGCAAATTACTGTTATCAGCAGCTTCTTACTGTCACACAAAGTAGGTTGCATTTTAGCTCAGCAGAAACTGAGGGGTTGTCAAGTTAATGGCTATTCAAGATGCCCTGTGAGTGAAAGGCAGGACTGGTGCTTCTGACCCTTCCTTCCCACTACTAGGTGAAGACAGTTAACCTAATCATGTTTCAAACTTCAGAGGAGTGGTTGGCAGCCATTTTCTTTGTCAAGAGTGGTCACAAGGCATCTGCTGGAACCCAGGGTTGGAGAATGTTCCGGGAGATGTGCCCTTGGGGCAGGTCTCCCAGCGTCACTCCTGTGTATTTTGGGTTTTATTTTTTAGAGTCGAGGTCTTGCTCTGACACCCAGGTTGGAGTGCAGTGGTGCTATCATGGCTCACTGTAGCCTTCAACTCCTGGACTCAAGCGAACCTCTCACCTAGCACTAGGACTAGGAGCTCCCACCACAGAACCCAGCATGTGTTTTGAGCCCCTCTGTGACTTCTTATTAAGCCTCTGGTGCTATCTACCTGGTCTTCTTGACTGCCACACCTATTCTTCCAACCTGTAGACCACTGAAGACTAGGATCAGCTCCATATCTGTCTCTCCCTACCTGTGCTTAAGTAGATTTCTGTCTAGTGATTTTGATCTAAGAATCTACAAGCAGAACAGAGTAGAGAAGAAAAAGAAAGGAAGGGAAAAAGGAAGAAGGGGGGGGAAGAAAAATAGGGAGGATGTAGGAGGTAGGGGAGAGAGTGAGTGACCAAGTGAATGAACAAATACATCATAAAACTCTAAGTAGCACTGAGGCATGAGCCCTGTTCTTTATCTTCACTGCCTCATGCTCTCATTTGATCTCCAAGGAGCTGGCCTTGTCTATCTCTGCCTTCTTCAGCATTCTCACATCTTCTCTCTGAAGTCTCTGGGGCTTCCACCATGCCCTTGCACCTCTTCCCTTTGGAAGACAGACCCTGCAGATCCAAACTGAGTTCTCAAAGGTTTGACAAGATTCATTCCATCTTGGGAGAAACCTCCACTGGTTCAGCCATCTCTAATTCCTCCTACGGGTCCTCTCAACTTTGTCCTTTCTTGCTCCATCTCCTTCTTGGTTCTCCTTTTTCTTTCTGCCTGCTAAATATTTTCACAGAATCTTTTCATTTCTGTCATCTTTCAAATGTCTCTCAAGTTTCCTCTAGAGCCACTAAGCCTGACTCTCAAATCTTTCTCTCTAGACTTGACTTCTCCCCTGAGTGCTGTACGTCAATTTTTAGCCACCCGGTGGATATTTCAACTACTGTTCCAATAGCAGCCAAATAAAATAGTACAATCCCTGAATTCATTTTCCTTTCCTTGAACCTCCCTCATGCCCCCCAGATTCCCAATATTGCTCAAACATCACCACCATCCTACTGACCAAAGACTGAAATTGTAGCTTCACCTTGGACCCCACCACCCAAGCCCCACTACGCAGTCAAGATTCAACCAAGTCAATCTTCACAGTATCGCTTGTATCTGCTCTCTGCTATCCATTTCTTTCCAGCATCCCAATTCCAGCTCTCCTTATCTTTTGGGTGGACTGCTGTGAAAGCCTTTTAATTATTCTTCCCCTTTCCTTCCATAGGATCCACTTAAGGCTACTATAGTACCATCCTAACAAAGGTCTGATCATATTAGTTTGGCATTAAAGTCTTCAGTAATGAAGCTTCTAAAATACTCTTCCACTTTCCAACTTTAATTTTTTACAAACCCTGCACTGTTGATTGCTGAACCATTCAATATTCCATCATATGCAACCCGTAATTTTTGGCCTCTTTTCCTTTAACAGAGGCTATTCTGGTCTTTTTCCAGCTTTCAATGTCAACACCCTTCTTGTCTTCAAAAATCACCTCTGTCAAGATTCCCAAGCCTCAACTGCAAATCTGGTCCCTGCTCACGGATTCATCTGTAGTATTTTATCTGTGCCTCTCTTATGAATCATATGGCATTCAATCTTGTTATCTTCCTGTTTAGATAGCCCCATCTAAGATGAGGAAGGCCCCATCTTTTTCATCTCTGAATCTGTGCTGCTGTATTGTGTCCAGGGAAGGTATTTGTCAATAACTAAATGAACAGCTCTGCAGACCCCCAGACACTCACCCTCCACTCTGATCTCTACTAAGGATGATGAGAATGTGTAGGAAGATGACAACTTGATTTCTGATTGCGTCTTATTTCTTTGTGGAGATAAGGCTATTATATACTAATGAATAAGAAGCAAGAGAAGATGGAGAACAGGATTACTGAGGATATATACTATACGCACTCCAAGAAGAGATGTTCCATTTTTATGAAACTACATTGGTCCTCAGAAGTAGGCTTATTTTGTATAGGTGAAAAGGAAAGCATTCCAGAGGAAGGAAGTATTAGTAGTAGATACCAAAGCCAGGGAAAGTATGGTTTATTCACAAGACTGTGAATAAGTCTGTCTTGATTAAGAGGAAAAAAAGACAGGAGGGAGAAGAGGGAGACCTTACATTCACCATGTCCCTGCTGAGGCTAGAACATAGACTAAGCTCCTTGTATGCATGATTCCATTTAATCCATACAACAAACCCACAAAGTAGATGTTATCATTGCCCGTTTTGTAAGCAAGGAGGCTGCGGCTCAAAGGGATTAAGTAACTGGCCCAGGTTACACAGGATTCAGTGGCAGAGCAGGGATTTGAAAAAGGCAGCTGGCTTCCATTGCACCATGCTGTCTCTTCTAGAGCAAAACATACAAACACCATGGGGTGTTTTCTTCAGGAAGAGAGTCTTCTTGTATTTATGAGTAATTCAAGATGTAAAGCAAAAGACAATGCATAACAACTGTAGAGCTTGATCCATTTGGACTGACTCTGAATGGAAATCTGTCTACCTAGAGAGAGAAGCAAGAAGGCTTCACAGCCACATGAGTGTTCTGGGGAGAAATGATTAAGGAGGGAAGCCCTAGAATTTGACACTATCTCCAGACTAACAGAAGGCACAAAGAAGAAATGTACACTAAAGAGGTTGGATTAATATCACCCTGCTCCAGTTTACTTCAGCTACAAAAGATGATAAATAATTCAACTGAACATAGCTTCATTGTAACAAATTCTCTTGCTCAGAGGTGATGGATAAGAGAGATGACAGAGAAAACCATACTTGGTCTCATTAGCACATCGGATCTTGCAGCCTTCCTTGGGAATCACCAGTCCAAGGTGCATTCGAAGCCTGCAGTTTGTAGGCCCCGTGTGCGGCCACACGTGAGTTCCAGGATGCATAATGGAATATTTGATCTGTGCAAAAAACATAACAACCATTTATCAAGGTGTGGAGGAATTGTTAAATTAAAGTGACAGTACAAAATTACTGTCAACGTGGATTAGAACCTCTGTAAGACTCGAAATTTATATTCACATCTTATTTCTTTGTGAAGGAACTAAAAATAGGCACTGAAATTTTCCACGAAGTGATAAACACTGAACACTTTCCACCCTCAATTCTGACGTCAACCACATAAAATTATGTTTCATTAAAAAGGGAGTGTAAAAAGAGGCCAAAGAGAAAAACCATTTCTTTGTAAAGGTCACCATGTTCTTATTCCAAACAACTAATTGTGTTCTCCCCAGCACTGAAAACCTTCTTGGTACCTGCCCTCTTCTGCATCCTGTTGTCTCGGGAAACTTTTCTAGTAAAGTACAGGTTTTAGGAGCTCCTTTACAGGCATTTTCATTTTTTCTTCCTAGAATAATAAATGACAAAAGAATTGTCAGTAACAAATCACTGTAAAGCTTTAACTCATCCCGTTTGCATTGTATGAGCTCTATATGGCCATCTTCACTGTAGAAATAAGAAGGTTGAGTAAACATAAGAAGACAGTGTCTTGCTTCAGTGGACAGTGGCTGCCAGAGCAAGGACCCTAATTCTCTACTCAGCATTGTACTATTGGGCGAAGGACAATAGTACAATGTCTAGTGAACCAGGCACGTGTTAAATATAGTTAACCCTTGCACAACATAAGGGTTAAGGGTGATAATCCTCTGAGCACTCAAAAATCCCAGTCTAACTTAACTGCTTCCAAAACTTAACTACTGTTATCAACAGCATAAACAGCTAATTAACACATATTTTGTATGCTATATGCGTTATATTCTGTATTCTTACAATAAAGTAAGCTGGTGCAAAGAAAACAATATTAAGAAAATCATAAGGAAGAGGAAATACATTTATAGTATTATATTATATTTATCGATACTGTGAGCTTATGTCATCTGTTTACAAGATGAATCATCTGAAACGGCACAACTGCAACTGCAGACCTCAATCGACAGTACTCATCAAGCAATTCTGACTTTTTCTTGTAATGTCATGACTTTTCTCTGCTTCTTGGAAGCACTTCCAGCATCGCTAGTGGCACTTTGTATGGGCCCATGGTGTTATTCAAGGTTTATGGTATTTACTAAACACGATGAAAAATATGTGAGAACCTCAAGAGATCACTTTTTACTGCTACAAACAATTTACTGGAGAGACAAAATGCTCACAGAGATGATATACATCACGTACCGTTTTAAGAGGATACTTACAACACCAACCCACTCCGGTAGCATTAGGAGACGGCTATGAAATTATTATAGCAGTATGGAACATACTACCCCAAACTTTATGTAGTTATGAATTAATACTGTATCTTATGTTTGTTTACATTTCCCTTGAATGGTGCTGTGCAACATCTGGATGTGCTTGTATATGTAAATATTGATAAATTCTAATAATAGATTTGTGTATATTTTATGGCAGAAAACAGACTAGTATATACATGTATTTCATGCATTCATGACATACCTAACTTTAAAAAAATTGTTTTATATTGCTAGGTTACAGGGTTCATCTGAGTTTTTTCAAATTGTCACAAATCTCCAAAAATATTCCAATATATTTATTGAAAAAAATTTGCATGTAAGTAGACATATGCAGTTCCAACTCATGCTGTTTAAGGGCCAACTGTACTTATTTTTTCTCCTATGGCAGGTAAAGTAATAGTCCTCCTCCTAGAGATGTTCATACCCTAACCCCATAACCTGTGACTATGTTACCCTTCATGCAATGGGGAATTAAGTTTGCAGATAGCATTGATCTTTCTAATCAGTTGACCATAAAATAAGGAGATCATCCAGGATTAACTAGATAGACCCAAGGTAATCACAGGGTCCTTAAATGTGGGAGAGGGAGGCATAAGGGTGTCAGAGTGATACAGAATGATAAAGACTTGATTGGTCATTGCTGACTTTGAAAACAGAAGGGGGCACCAGTCAAGGACTGTGGATGCTGGAGCCTCCAGAAGGAATGTAGCCCTGATGACACTTTGCTTTTAGCTCAGTGAGACCCAAGGTAGACTTATGAGCTGCAGAACTGTAAGATAATAAATATGTGTTTTTAAGCTACTAAGTTTGTGGTAACTAGTTACAGAAGTCATAGAAAACTAATTTATCTCCTAAAGAAGGAAAATAGCTTGTATTATACTTCTAAACTAAAAATTTTAAAAAGTTACCAAAACATGATTTTTAATTAAAATCTGATGTCTTTTTCAATGTCAAGATCCTTTATATGTTGATAAGGAACAGGACTTAAATGGGGAGGGAGAGGAGGTCTTTGACAGATGACATTTTCTATGGAAAACTGTGTCAGAAACACAGACTTTGGGACATATTTTAAGCATCACTGGACTATGAAAATTTCTTCACACTTTATGAAGCCACTGCTTATTAGTGAAGATGTGCTCAGAAAGTACACAAACATCCTTTGTTCTCATGAGGGAGTAAGATGGTACTTTTTTCCCCAAAAGACAGAAGCAGGCCAGGCATGGTGGCTCAAGCCTGTAATCCCAGCACTTTGGGAGGCCAAGGTGAGGGGACTGCCTGAGTCCACGGGTTTGAGAACAGTCTGGACAACTTGGCAAGACCTCATCTCTACAGTAAATAAAAAAATTAGCCGGGTGTGGTAGCATGTGCCTGTAAGATACGGTTACCTGGAAGGCTGAGGCAGAAGAATCACCTGAGCCCAGCAGGTCGAGGCTGCGGTGGCCATGAGTGTGCCACTACACTTCAGCCTGGGTGAGTGAGTGAGAGTCCAACTCAAAAAAATAAAAAAAAACGACAAGCACTTTAAATCCCTCTTCAAGATCCCTACTAAGAACTTTTACAACTAAATCTGAGCTTAATTTTATTTAATGGATGTTAGTTGTGTCCTAAAATAATCATATACTGCGAATAAAATGTGAGTTACAAAAAACCAACTTAAAGGTATTTGCCTCAATCAAATGGAGTTTGCTATTTTAGAAAACAATTTAGCTTAAGTAATCTTTTTGTCTCTTAATTGAATAAAATGTTAGTTACTATTTTTAGTTATTATTGGAGTTCTTCAAATTGACTGAATGATAAATATCAGTTGGGACAAATATTATACAAATGTATGAGCCATTAGAAATCATTTTTTAAGCCGGGCTCGGTGGCTCAGCCTGTAATTCCGCACTTTGGAAGGCTGAAGTGAGTGGATTGCCTGAGCCCACGGGTTTGAGACCCATCTGGGCAACTTGGCAAGACCTCATCTCTACAATAAATCAAAAATGAGCCGGGTGTGGTAGCGCGCACCGTAGTTCCAGCTACTTGGAAGGCTGAGGCGGAAGGATCACCGGAGCCCAGTGGGTCAAGGCTGCGGTGGCTGGGAGCAGCCACTGCACTACAGTCTGGGCGACTGAGTGAGACTCCAACTCAAAAAAAAGAGATCATTTTTTAAGTGCTGGTTTTTCATGCCTTCCAACATGCAAGGGCTGAAAATGCTTAGCAGTAGTCCCTAATTCTGGGTTCTGTGCTGTTCAGGCAGCAGTTAAGTGAAACCTGGTGACTTGAGGGGCAACCAGAAGTGGTTGGACTTCCCATAAGCTCAGTGGTGAGGGCTAAGCATGTGCCACTTGGAGAACAGGCATGCCTTACACCTCAGTTATGGGCAACGAAAGTGTAACCAAATGGGTTGTGTCACTGGGATTTCCACTGGATCAGAGAGCATCTCAAGCCCTTTTGACACCAATGTCTTTTCTTTTTTGTAAAACTCTATAGAGGGAAAAGTTGTCCAGTAGATGCTTGACATTCTTGAACTACCATTGTAGTTTCAACTACTCACACACGATCATGAGGGACCAAGCTAGGTACAACAACAGTTCTTTGGGGCTCACCATATGCCCAGAGTGACATCTCATCTGATGTCCACAACGCCCTCTAAGGAAGGCACAATTAGTGTTATATTTTACAGAAGGACAACCGAGACACAGAGGGGTCATATTATAGATAACAGAGCCTGAATTTCAAGCCAACCACACTGAACCCAGAGGTCATGCTCTTAACCAGGAGCTGAGATCACCTCTCCATCACTGTTATTATTACATAATGCATTCTTGCTATACAATAAAAATGCAGTATCACTATCATACATCAGATACCTGTGTGTCAGATCTTTCATCTAATGCTCATTGACCCTAATGATAATCCCATACTTGAGGCACTATCTTCACTGCCATTTTTCAGATGAGGAATATGAGGCTCAGGTTCAAGGACATGCCCACAACACATAGCTAACAAATGTTGCATCTGGGACACTAACTTAGGACTATGGACTTCCAAAGCCCATGCTTTCAAGCAGCGGTCCCCAACCTCTTTGACATCAGGGACTGGTTTTGTGGAAGGCCATTTTTTCCACGGAGTGGAGTGGGTGGGATAGTTTCGAGAGGGTTCACATTACCTTTATTGTGCACTTTATTCCTGTAAGCATTAAATTATAATATATCATGAAATAATTCTACAATTCTTCACAATGAAGAATCAGTGGGAGCTCTTAGCTTGTTTTCCTATAATAAGATGTTCCTATCTGGGGGTGATGAGAGACAGCACTAGCACCACAACCTCAGCTGCACCTCAGATCATCAGGCATTAGATTCTCAAAAGGAGTGCACAACCTAGGTTCCTTGCATGCACAGCTCACAGTAGGATTTGTGCTGCTATGAGAATCTCATGCTGCCATTGATCTGACAGGAGGCAGAGCTCAGGCAGTAATGTGAGCAATGGGGATCGGCTGTAAACACAGACAAAATTTTGCTGGCTTGCCCACTGCTCACCTCCTGCTGTGTAGTCCCCGTTCCTACCAGCCCATGGACCAGTTGGGGTTGGGGTTGACAGTACTTGCCTTCAAACTTATTATTTATATTATAAATTTGTTTCTAGACTACTGAATCCCCCCTAGAAACTTGGCACTAAAGCAAAAGTCCATAAAGAATCTTAATACATTATCCTAAAAGAGCAACTTTGAGAGCTATATTCTTTTATGACAATAAAATAAAAATAAGATATCAATTTTTAAAAGTTGAAGCAACTGCAAGAGATTGGAAAACATATACACAATCACATACATACACATCTAAATTATCTGGAGTCAAAAGAAAATCAGGCCAGAAATGCAGTATTTTCTATATTAACTCTAGTAAAAATACTATACATTACAGCTATGGAAGACTTCTAAAGCTGTATCGAGGGGTCAGCCCATAGCCTTAAATGTTTTTATTATTAAAGACAGAATGACAGCCGGGCGTGGTAGCGCATGCCTGTAATTCCGGCTACTCAGAAGGCTGAGGCGGAAGGATCGCCGGAGCCCGGCAGGTCGAGGCTGTGGTGGCTGGGAGTGGCCACTGCACTCCAGTCTGGGCGACAGAGTGAGACTCCAACTCAAAAAAAAAAAAAGAATGAAAATAAATTTGTTAAGGAGTTCCAATCAAACTGTTTAAAAGAACAATAAAATAAACAAAAAGAATAACAAGAGGAGGAAAAAATATAAAAGCAGGCATTATTAAACATAATCATAATTATATAATTGACAAGTAATTTGATAAGTTGTTTATACAACAGAAGAGAGAACTCTGTGACACTTAGGAAAAAATAGCATGCACATTCCATTCAATGGGAAGAAGAATTTAACAAAAATACTAAGAAACATAAAAAATTACTCTGAATAGTTTATGGAAAATCAGGTAGAATCCATTTATGTGAAAACTCTAACCAAATTATTGTCTCCATTATTTATTTTCTTTTTTGTGTAATACTTGTATATGCCCTATACTACATATTTTTACTTTATCAAATAACTGTTGTTTTTTTTTTTTCCCAGAGATGATGGTTCCTGGAAGTTACTGCTAGGATGAGTGCTACTCTAAAGAATTACTCTATGAGGCTGGGTAGCTTCTAAGAAGCATAAAGATGTTAGTGGAACCACAGTATCAGGTGAATGCTTAAGTGTCAATAGACCTGACTCATCTTAGTGACATGCCAAAGATACATTTGCATGTTGCCCACATATTGATCACATAGCTCCGTTAAAAAAAAATCTCGTTGGCAAAAGGCTGACAGTCACTGGAAATCACATAATCGCTCTTGTGTTGGATGTAGCCTTGAAAATATTACTTATGTAGTTTATCTTTGTCTTACATAGAATCCATTCTGAAAGCACAGTTGAAATAAATCACTGTCCTTACTTGTCCTATAATGTTAGTCAGATGTATACTCCAAATTTGTTTTGTGTGGCTGAAGATGTGCAACATGTGCTGTTTAGTCTGCACGATGCATTTACTCTTGTATAGCAATTGTTAACCTAGGTTAACTCGACTTTTCAAGAAGAGAATTGGAAAGACACTTAAAGATAAAATTCAATGCTCCTCATTTTAAAGATAGATTAATATATTAATTCACTGAACACACACACATTGCAGCTCCATCTATGTGCCTGACCTGGGTTAAGCTCAAGGAATATAAGTTGAATATGAACCACTTCCTATTCCTGAGGAGTTCAGACAGTAGTTACTGTCTTTGTCACTTTGGTGTGTTACCATTTCTAACAGCTCTCATCTGTGGTAATATCATTTTGGCGTGCAGCATCAACTCCATTTTACAGAAGCAAATGAAGCCCAGGGATGCTCATTTCTAAGACACTGATAACATGTGGTGGACTTTTCAGTTATGCCTACACAGTAGGGTTATAGTCACTAACACATCATTTAATAAGAAAAGACCAGAAAAATCAAAATACTATTTGTAAATATTTATCCAAATAAACATGTGAGTATGCAAACACACACACACACACACACACACACACACACACACACACACACACACACACAAGGGCTCAGATATAGTTTTTTAAAGCAATGAATGGATTTTAAAAATGTAGGTTTTCTGGCCTATCATCTTTAAGCCTGGGAAACCCAGCTCTGGGAAGTATTGACAGAAGACTCTCATCAGGGACCACTTTCCATCAGGTAGCTGGCTACAAAGAACAATCTAGAAGTCAGGAGCTCACCTTGCTGCCACAGTGTGAACTGGCTCCAGTCTCCCTTTTCCCGCAGGTTTTCGTCCTCAGGCAGGAAGAGACCTTTGGCTTCATCCATCACTGCAAGGCCTTCATCTCGGATTAACTTCCAGTTTCTTTCTAAAGACTAAAGGGAAGATTCTGGCTTTACTGCACTGAAAATGTGTCTAGTAAAACACCATATAATGACTTCCTTCTTTTTTCTTTGTTTGTTTAATAAAGTAATGAAATTTTTGCTCTTATTCAGATCGCTTATATTTCAATTTCCTCTGGAACCTCTTGCCATGGGTATTTTTTAAAAACTCATTATTTTACCAAACCAAATGCTTTTGCACCATAAAAATTTCAATAATTACCAGAAACCTCAAAGAATAACCCCTTCCATGATTTGAGTTTTGCCTAAAGACTTTTTTAAACCACAAACTAACAAGAGCATTGATCTTATTGATCATATTATATCAGTACACTACAATAAACTCCATGTGAAACTCTAGCATCTAAACTGGAATACAATTTACAGACTTAACTTCACCTTTCAATAGAGTTCCTTACGAAGACTCCATTCAACATGATAAATATGAATATTAATTAAACTCTTAACCATATCAGAAAAACGCCCATTGGAACATTTGATATATTATAAAATTAACAGTAAAACAAAAATGATAAATGCACTAGTGTTTAGAATTCAGCCAAACAAATATTTGCTTGACTTCTCACATATGCGGGAGGCTTAGTCCCTGCCAGAAAGAGAACTTATGGTCAAGCAGGGCCTAGAAGTGTGGCCAGGTGGGTAACAGTGGATCCTGTGGAAGACCCTCTGGGAATCTTCACTGTCACACTGGCCATTGATTTGGGGTGAGAGCTGGAGACTGGTAGGGAGGGAAGGTAAGGGTGAGTATTTGAGTGAAATGAATTGCTATCAGGAGAAAATGATAAAAACAGCTTTCCTACCTTAGGCACAAGACAAAGTTATACAGATAAACCAGGATTTCAAAATCTCAATAATTTCAATCATTTCTGTTCCATGAAAAGTGGATGAAATAGTTTAGTTTATGGATTTGTGGATAGGAGGAACACACTAGTTGATTTCAACAAGAATCAGGGTCAGATATATTTTTTTAAGTGACTCAAGAGCATAGGACTAGTATTAATAAGTTACAAACTAAGGAAAAATTTTGATGCAAAAAATGAAAACAGCAATGAGCACACTCTGAAAATGGATTGAGTTTCCTTGTAAAACATGATTCTGTATCTTTTGAATTAGTCAAGTGAAATGCTCGGTAATTGGGTAGAGCAAAGACCAAGATAATGTGTAAGGTGTTTCTACTAAGACATGCTTTATGAATTCATGATTCCATTCAGGAAAATGATATGAAGTCAGGAGGGCTCTGATAAACACAGACACTGGAAACATGGTGCCAACCTCAGCCATCCCAGGGAACACTTTTTATATCATGTGAAAACATTGGGGTTATTGGACTATCTTAGGGCAAGAGAGAGATTTTGATAAGGTATTGATTTTATAATTCTATTTCTGTGACATTCACCCATCAATTTGGGTTAACATTGTTAACAAAAGAGCAGTGAGATCTGTGGAGACAAAAGGAGAATTTTATTTTCGAAAAGCAATCCGTAGGTTGCAAAGATGCAATCTTAGGTATAAATGAGAGTTCACTCCAAGGAGTAATTAGGGAGTAGAAGATTACAAAGGCAAAAACCACATGGCAGGGGAGGGAAGTCAGGGGAGTGAGGAACAGAGCTTGACATAAGCCCCAATCACTGGTCTGTCTTAATTGGCTGATTTCAGGTGTTGGTAGTCAGGGAATTTCTAGCTACAATTGTTTCCAGGAACTGTTTTTAGACTTGGTTGTAGAAAAACAGGTTCTGCAAAACTTTTTTAATTTTTGAGTTGGAGTCTCACTCCATCACCCAGGTGGGGTGCAGTGGCACCCTCAGGGTCACCCCAGTGTTGACCTGCTGGGCTCAGGTGATCCTTCCGCCTCAGCCTACCAAGTATAGGCTGGAGCTACAGGCCTGCGCTACCACGACCAACTAATTTTTGATTTGTTGTACAGACGAGGTCTTGCCAAGTTGCCCGGGCAGGTCTCGAACCCGCAGACTCAGGCAATCCTCTCACTTTGGCCTCCCAAAGTGCTGGGATTACAGGCATGAGCCACCATGCCCGGCCTGCAACACTTTCTAAGGACAGAGAGAGTGTAACTTCGCCTTCATCCTGACATGGCCTCTTGGGTCTCCTTTTAACTTTTGAGCCACTAGGAAACCATCTTGTTTGCCAACTAGGTGCGTAATTTGATAACATCTACATCTGCACGGACTCCTACAATTGTCCAGCTTGGGGGGGCGTTGGTCATTTACCAACGTTTAGTGCTCAGTTCACCAACCAGTTTTCATATTACTTCGTCCCAACTAGAAAGCTTGTAACTAGCAACTCAAAGACTACATTTCTTTATTTTTTTTAATGAGGATGTATATAAGATTAGGTTTACCTAAAATTATTATTTTTTAATTTTATTCTGAAAATAACTCACATACAAATGCATTTATATAAATGTCTCATACAGAGCGTGGCAAAAAATGTATACACATTCTAAGAAAGAAAAATCTCTATTAACATTGTAATACTCAGTATATACCGATAACAAAAAGATGAATACAAGTCAAGTTTGACCTCTGCAATTACAAGAGGTACTCATAGTGGTTACCATCAACATCCAGACACTTCTAATTACAGTAAACTAAAAGTAAAACACAGATAACATCTCATAAAACGTGTATACATTTTTTGGCACTCCTGGTATGTGACCTTTATGACCCAATTCTATTTATTTATTTATTTATTTGTGTGTGACTTGCCTTTCTAATGTCTTTTTGAAAGAATTTATTTTATCCAGTTCTCTTTTGATGGGTAGCACGGTACCTATACACAATGGAATACTACGCAGCCATAAAAAACAAAACCATGAACTTCGCAGCAACCTGGACTGAATTAGAGTTTATAATACTGAGTGATCTCTCATAGAAACAAAGAGCTGAGTATCACATGTTCTCACTCATAAGTGAACCTTGAACAACTACCGTACTGCTATAAGAAAAGGATTGAAAGTGGCGGGAAACTGCGGGAACGGGGGATGGAAGGGTGGGGAGGTGGGATTGACAGTAGTCAATATCTGCCTGGGGAAGTGGGGGGGGCACACCTCATCGATAAGGGTACCTGCACAGTGAATATTTGTATACCTAGCCCTGAATTGTACCCCACAATTTTAAATAAAAATTAAAAGAGAAAAAAAAAAGAACTTAATTTTAAAGATGAGGAGTACAATTCAGGTTAGGTATACCAGGCAAAGTCTGGTCTCACTTTGGTCCCCACTTCACCTGGTTTGAGATCAGGTACGCTTATTGATGAAGTGTGCCCACCCCAACTCCCTCAGCAGTTTCTCACTACTGCCAATCCCTTTCTTATAGTATTATGATAATTGTTGAGGGTCCACTTATGAGTAAGAACATGTGGTACTCAGTTTTTTGTTTCTGTGATAGATCACTCAGTATTAAAGACTCTAAGTCCATCCAAGTTGCTGCGAAGTAAAGATCATATTTCAATGAAGTTACTCAAAAGCCCTCACTTTGGCAGGTGACCAGGTTGGAAGAAGATAATAGTTCTGTAAAAATCCCAAGATCACAGAAAGAAAAAAAAAATGCACCCCAGGGCATTGCAGTATGTTCATATCTCCTCAAGTGCATCCAAACTGCCAACACTTACTACTGTAATTATTGTAACTTGTTCAAATTACTAGATAAATCTGTTAGATTCTTGTTAAATTGTCACTCAGACAAGGGGAAGATTTTATCTAACACATGAAATTACTTTTCAAATGAAGTTCTTGGCACCTTATAAGGGCAAACTCTTCATCTCTTCCCTCCCGATATTTTAGAAAATTTTTTTATTCTGATTTAGGGGAATGGTTGGAAACAGCTGATCTTTTGTTACTAAAATAGGGCACAAAACCCTAGGGAAAAGTATTAAAGTGATTGCATCACTCAACATAATTTAAACATTTTTACTTAAGAATAAGCTGTCTTTTATGTGTGAGATGTTGTTTCTGCCCCAGCCTCCCCTGGAAAGTGTTACCAAGGTATTTTTCCATGAGCAGTAATTTTTTAAAACTTTTTTTGTTTTCTCTTGTTATACGTGGCACATTATGTGTTGGATGACAGACTCATGCTCAAAAGGGGCAAATTGGTGCAGAAAGGTCCCTCTGAAACGTGCCACTAGACATGCTCAATATGAACCGAGCAATGCATAGATTTCTAGTTTACTTTCTTTATAAAGTGATCACTTATTATTTTCTCTTTTGAGTTGGATACTTTGTCATAGAATTTTACAACAGGAAGGAACCATACCATTAATCTAGATAAAATTGTTTCACCTTAGGAATGACAAGACAACTCTTGGAGTAGCTAACGAGCCTAACATCCCATAGTCTAGTGACCAGCTAACACCAGAAACCAGCTCTGCTCTCTCTCCTCGATTATTCCTAAGGCATCTGAGAGAGGAGAAAGGGTTACACTTAGGCACAGGGCTTTCATGCTGTGGTGGACTCGGGGAGGCCCTTCTCCCTTCTGGAACATGAGAGCGATTGCAGGGCCTCAAGCCTCCCAGGCACAGAATTTACTGAGCGCCCATTAGTGTGGACACAGACTGGGAGCAATTCCAAGGTGCTTGAAAAGCAATGTGCTCCTCACTGAGCACTGTGCAGAGGGCATGCTTCAAAGGCAGGTCACATCTTTGACAAACGGGAAAAACTAGGCAAACCAGAAAATCCCACCAGTTAAACCTGGTGACATAAAGAAAAACACAGAGATAACACTCATGATCTCTCATGTGTTCACTACAAACATTTTTAAAGTAAAGACTGCACTTGAAGGTATTTTCTAACTGAGGAAAGACACAAGGCTTTTATGGACATCAGGGACAAATCTGGGATAGGACCTGAGAATGTTGTTTTTGAGCACAAACCAAGCAACCACAGTGTATAAAATTCACATGGTTATGGAAAATTAAAGACCAAACCTAATTAGGGTGTATGTGTGTCTTAGTCTGTTCCA